GGTTACAACAAAAGAAGAGTTCTAACTCTCTACACAAATAAGCCCTTGGCCTTAATTTACATGTATCACCAAAATAATAAAACAACCGAAAGAGTCTTCAACTCCCAAAACCATCCAAGCTAAGGCCTTGGTGGCGGCATAGCACCTGAACCTGAAAATGATGTCCCATATAGGGTGAGCCTAACGCCCAGTAGAGATATGCTAAATATAATATGAGCAATAACTAAAACATTGGCATTTGATAAATGTTTAACTTATATAAACAAACAAACATCTTTTTCTATTTCATTAACCAAACCAATTCATAGATATGGTTCCCTATTCAGCCAAACAGTTCATAATGAGCCTACAACTCATATCAACAATGCTTCGTTAAGATCAATTAACATGAGACCACAACTCATATAATTAACACTTCAACACTTCAAGTTCGAATGAGACTGCAACTTATATTATCAACACTTCAATACTTTAATTTATCTACGTTATACAAACGCAATTAGGATTTCGGGACTTTCACCCTGGACACTCCGGCCAATTTAGTTATCACTGGAGTCCATCCCCTATCTCCTCCGAAATCCGGTTTAGGAGTACATCCCCTATCTCCTCCTAAACCGTGGAGTATATCCCCTATCTCCTCCCAAACAATATACATATGTAATGTATTTCAACACTTATCATATACAATGATCAAGCCAAGCACATATTCAATGTGTTATTCCATCCGTCATATTCAATGACATATTCAATTGATTAGTTTTAAATCACCTAATCATCATGCAGTGTCTACAACAATCAAGACTGTCCTTCACCGATAGCCCAAAACAATTATTTCTAAACAGATAATAAATTATCAAACAGATAAATTATCTACAATATCAAAGGTGAGTGATTAATCAATCCAACTCCACCATTAAATCTCACAATTATCCAATTTCACTATTTCCAACTCAATTTCATATCTCCATAGCTTTCCCAAATTAATTCATCACAATAAATTAGGGCTTTTCTCCTATTTTTCTCAGCATTGACCCAAAAGTCCAAATATTATCAATAAACATCAATAACCTTATTTTAAGACCCAAAATGCCTATGTATTGGTCAAAAGGACAAAACCCCTCTTAATTCTTCTTCTTTTTTTCTTTTTTAATTATTAAAGAATCCAATTATCAAAAAAAATTTAGTCAATGTTATTTATTTATTTATTAATATTAATGAATCCAACTATCAATAAATTTGTAGTCAATGTTATTCTCTCTTCTTTTTTTTTTTTTTAATTTTTTTATTCTTTTTTGTAAATATTAAATAATCCAACTATCAATAAACTTGTACTCAAACAACACCTTCCATACTGTGCTGAGTATGAAAGACAAAATCCTGTCTCCCTCCTGTTTCCCTGCAGCATAAGTTTAAATCTTACCACCACGCACACAAAAAAGCACACACATGCCTACCTATTTCAAAAAAAATATCAATATAATTTATTTAGAGAAAACTTAAATGGGCAAGACACGTAGTTAAAATGTCCACTAAACTGTATGCTTGAGTATAATTCCTAAAAAGGTTCTTTAACAACTCCTAGCCTAAAGTGGTAGGCACATGCAAACTCAATAAACATTTCTCCAAGAAGTTCAAAGTCCAATGCATATAATAGAAATTGTGGACATCGAATTGTTTCATCACAATGTCAAACCTCAAAGATTCAACAGATAATTGTGTATGATAACAACTTTGAAAGAGCGTCACCACCAGCAATGACATGAGATATATCAACATGAAGTGTAATATTCCCATACATAAAATGACAGGTCAATGACAATACAATTTTAGTTGTCCATTGTTAGATTGGGTCCTTTATCTGAAAGCTTCAACTCAAAGCTAAAGCCTTGAAAGATTTCTTGCCGAAATTGACCAAACAACCATTATATAAACAACCATTATTAGATTCCAGTTAATACAACATATGTGACAAACAACCATTACATAAACATTCCCTGCTAAAATTGACCAAACGGTTGGGACCACCCCCAGCCCCACATGGGCCCGAATTCAAATTGATGACCTTTCTTTCTCTAATGGAGTCTCTGGAAGCAATTGAAAGCTCAAAATATCCAATGAGTCCAAACTTGCAGAATCCAAACTTCACTGTCCCAAGTTTAGCAGAGGATTTAGATGCTACACATGCCATTAATGAGCTAAGAAAGGTCAGACAACGCGCATCATTACGTTTTCTATTTTTAACAAATAGAAAATGTTATCTCTCACTTTGTGCACTATGTCTTGTTGCTGAAATTGCTTGAAGACCAGACTCTAACATTAAACAGGCTGACACTATACCAGGGTTTACACTTCCTGCTTATAATAATCAAATAAAGGGGCTACAAGTTTGTGTATTTACCATTTTACTTTGGGTGATGAAAAAGAAATTCCATCAATGAGTTAAGGCCCCGTTTGTTTTCAGAGTTAGAATTGAGGGGATTCATAGTGAGGGAATTGATAGTGAGGGGATTAAGTAAAATTTTGTTTGCTTTGATGATAGTTGTTAGCGTAGAAATTGTTAAATTATTTTTATATAAAATAATAAAACAAATAAAAAAATATAAAAAATTAAACATTAATATTTTAAAAAAAATTCTAAATATATAAAAAATAAAAAAAAATTTAATCCCCTCACTATTTTTCTAATACCACCTCCACCTCCTCCATCCCAATCCCCTTCCAACCTCCATCTATATCCCCTCCTCCATCCTAATCTATTTCCCAACTCTACAAACAAACACAACACTAAATAACCCCACCTCCATCCTAATCTCCTCCCATCCATTATACCCCAAAACAAACGGGGCCTAAGATAATACCCAAATAAATTTGATGCATACCAAGTAATTGTAGTTCAAGAATATGTACCAATCACTAGGCTGAAGTTCTGAAAATAAGTTATAGTATCTAACAAAGAGTTACATACCTTTTCCCGATGGCAAAGAAGTTCCAACACCCTAGCACCAACAGCATAGCCTGCATCCTCCAACCTGCCCCAAACCAACAACATTAGAGAACACCCACACTGGAATGTATGATCCAATACAGATCAATTACGCAGTAACTTAATTAAAATATTGCCATCCCATTAGTATGGAAATTTCACAATGGGGTTAAAGCAGTTGATCTCCCCCACAACTGTCAGATCAGCCTAAAAATTACATAAATTTATTCATTTTTTTAAGACCCAATCTCTTAGTTGTAGTGGGTATTGATACACAAATCATAATTGCCAATCATATATTTGTGAATATTATTTCTTCTTCCCCCCAATTTCAACACATGGATGTTTCGAGAATATATTTATTCTTCTGCGAACTAAAGAAAATAAATAAAATGAGGGTTTTTATAACAGTTTTGCTAGCAGTTATCTGTGAAATAAAACAGAACCACAGAATTATAGATATGTGGAAATTGAATAATTACCTTCTTTCTAATTCTGTGATATTGTCAACTTGGGTTTGATTGTACTGAACAAGCTCTGAAAACAAGAATGCAAATGCACTCAAACTCACCTGTAAGAATTACGAAACATGAATCATTTTCCACGATCATAAATTATTGTGTGTGCCTCTGCTTGTACATTCTCACATTTCCCTCGCGAAAAAATGAAATCCCAAACACAAAATCAAATTAAGGCTAAAACCCCTATTTAGCTTTACAAGAGTATGAAAGTAAAGAAAATAAATCAACATAGTGAACCTTAAATCTCCCATTCTGTGTCACTAAACTTAGTCCTTAAATAACGAGGTAAACCCACTTAAATTTAGTTTCTGATTTGTTTTATTTTCATTTAGTTTCTGACCAACCAAACGCATCACTAGGTCATTTACACAAATGGGTATAGTGAGATCTCGACAAATTGAGAAACAGCAATTTACTGGATCAGGGAATCGAATGGAAATCAATCGTGAATGTATGTAAATACGTAAATAAATATGAAGAGAAAGAGAGAGAGAGAGAGAGTTTGAGGGCACCTCTTGTTTGCCCTTGCTGAGGGGTTTGTCGAGGATGTTGGTGTATTGCTTGATCTTCCCCACTCCGATCATCCTCTCACCTCTCTCTCTCTCTCTCTCTCGCGAATTTCAGCGAGTAAACCAGTTCACAATTTCGGTAAGGAGCATACAGCAGTTCGGAATGGGTGTCTGTTTTTTTTTTGTTTTTTCAGATCGCAGCTTTTTCCAACCCGGGTGCAGACCAAGCAGTATACCTATTTTGCTAATTTGAGTTCTTATTTTTTTTTTTAAGAGCAAATTACATATATAGGATTAGCTAAATTATAGATATCTTGAGGTTTGAGAAGTTATAAATATTTTTTGAAAGTTAAATTTGTATAACAAATTAAGAGATAATTTGTTATAAAAATATAAATCTCATAAGGTAATTTGTTATGAAAATATAAATCTCAGGGGTATCTGTAATTTTTCAAACCTCAGGAGTATCTGTAATTTAGCTAAATCTCGAGAGAGGTATATGTAATTTGCCTTTTTTTTAAGAGAAAATTATGTAAATAGTTCTTAATTTAGATGTTAATTTGGTCCTTATAATTTTAATTTATTTGATTTTATCCTTTAATTTACTAAATTGTGTCATTTTAATTCAATAAATAACAGTTGATAAATTAATCTAACAAAAAGTTAAAACAATATGTCAATTTAGTCCTTGTATTTTTTACAATGTATCAATTTAGTTCCTGTTAAAATCGAGAAAATTGAAATTACACAGACCGAATTGACACACGATGTAAAGTACAGGGACCAAATTAAAACATTGTTTGACATTCCGTTACATTAACTTAACAACCGTTATTTATTGGACTAAAATGACATAATCTATTAAATTAAGGGACAAAATCAAGCAAATTGAAATTACAAGGATCAAATTGACACATCGTGTAAATTACAGAGACTATTTACATAATTTACCCTCTTTTAATTTTTAATTTTTTATTTAATAGAATAGATTACAAAGATTTACTAAAAATATAAATTTTTATAAATTACGTTTGAGAAATTCCATCTAACCATTTGAGATTTTTAATTACACTAGTAGAGTTCTAGGTGGCAAATTTCACATAATATTATATATTTTTATATTAATGTTTAAATATTAAAATTTGAAAAATAGATCAAAACTAATCACATAAAGTAATTATACTTCATTGATAATTAAAAAGTGAAGAAATAAAACACACAACTAACATTGTAACATTATTATTATTATTAAAGATAAAAAAATAAAATATCCAACTAACATTGTAATATTACTATTAAAGGTGAAAAAAATAAAACATCTAATTAATATTTTAATATTATTACTATTATTATTTTGAAATAGAATAAGTAAATGAAATTGACAGCTAAAATATTTTTATAAAATTCATTCATTCTCTAGTTTTGAACATCCTTACGGTTAAACTTTGAGAATTTGTCATATTGTTATTTTTCATCTCATATTGATTTTCGTCATTTTGTACTTCTTTTGCTGTAATCTTTTTAGATGTGCAATCTTTGTCATTCATCTTCTCAAACCCTGTGAAAATATGTATATATGGCCAAAAGCAAATTTTAGCGCCTTACAAAATTTGATATTCTTACTTTCGTATAATAACAATAACAATGGTATAGTTTTAAATTAAATTATTTACTTTTCCATGTATGTATGTTACTAATGTGACACTTTTATGCATTTGGTAAACTTATCTTCTCTTTAGATGCTATGAATTCAGTTACTGGACATCTAATAATTTTCTCAGCGGCTTCAAATAATGTGACATATATTTGTCTTTCTCCACCTCCCACTATGAGTTTCATCAAATATCTTATATTTAGTTTACTCAATCTATTTTGAAGTTCATTGTCCATATCATAGAAGTTCATTATTTGTATAACGGTTCCGGTTTAGACCCGACCCATTTCATACTCTTAGATCCGGGATTCCATCTTTTAAATGTTGTTTATGCCCTTTATCATCTTGTTAGTAGTTGAGTTGAGTTGTTAGTTGTGTTTGAAACAAGTTGGGAGTTAGTTTTTTAATGGAGTTTCTATCCAATTTTCTTTCTGTTCGCTCGAGCGATCTTTAAAATCTCCCAGTATTTTTGCAAGTCTACAAAACTTCTAGGAGTAGGGTGTTGTTTGCTTGAGCGGTATTTCTTGCTCTTAAGCTGTCTTTATAGTCTGCAAAACTTCTGGGAGGGGGTCATTGTGCGCTCAAGCGGTGTTTTTGTTGCTCGAGCAATCTTACTTATTTTGTTTGGCACACAAGGGGTGGTTTGGTTGCTTGAGCGGCCTGTGTGTATATCAGTTCGGGAAAATGGGTTTTTACATTACTTTTTTCACTTCCTCTCTCCCTTTCTAAAACTTTCCAAACCCTAATTTCTCTCATTCTCTGTCTAGTTCTTGCTTAAAACCTCAAATACTGCATCATCTATTGATTTCTCCACCATTGCTCCTTAGAGAAAAAAGTAGAGCTCATCGAAAGCTTCATTCTAATCGGAGAGGATCTTGTTTTTGGCTCCATCAAAGTTTCACCCTTGCTCTCTTCCTCTTCTACTCTTAAGGTGGGATTTCTTTAACCTGATCTTTAGCTTGTTTATTTGCTCCTAAAAAGGATTAGTGATTTGGGGATTTTAGGTGAAACCTAGGATTTGGTTATGAAATATAAAAGAGAGATTTTTTAAATAAATACTGGAGAAGGGTTGTGGAAGTGTATGTACTGATGAATTGTGTTGAAATATAGGAAGATCTTTCTTTAAATCTGATTCTTGGAAATAAAGGAAGTTTTGTTTGAAAATTATGGATGTTTGATTTATGAAAGGAAAAGAAAGGATGTTGGGTTTTTGAAAAAATATGAAAAAATGTATCTGTTGATGATGAGAGTGGAGTTAGATATGTATTATCACTCCCATTTTGAAATTTATGAGATTATAGCTGTTATTGGAAAGTTATCTGTTAAGTAGAAATATCTGTTTTGGGCTATCGGTGGAGGATAGCTTTGATTGTTGTAGAAATTACATGAAAATTAGATCAATTGAAACTAATTACTCATACACCTTGCATTAAGCATTCTTTCATATTTAATCATTGAAAATGTATTGTTTTGAGAAGAATAGGTGTATACCTTGGTGAATCTATTTAAGGGGTGTGGTTGTGGTTTATATTATTGGCCTGTGTGTCCTTGGTGAAAGTTTAGAAACCCGCGCGGTAAAGTGCTGATCCTTTAGTTAGTATGGTAAAATAGTTTTGGTAGTGTTTGTATAACCTACTGACAGACATATACTTAAAGATTCCCAGTATTTTGTATCCACCGTCCTGTTTTATAATGTAAAAGAGTATTTTCATGAATTGAAATATAATAATGATGGCATTACACTATTTTGAGATAGAAAAGTATAATGTTTGGCAAACTATATGTATATGCATTCACTTTATGACTTCGTTAAGTTTCATTCTTAGTGTTAAAGTATCTCAGTTGGGCTTTAACTCACCCTATGTGGAAAATAACTTTAGGTGCTAATGATATTCCTCTACCAAGGACTTAACTTGAAAGGACCGTGGAGCTGAAAGCTCATTTTTGTTTCTTTTGTTGTAATTATCTTTTGTACAAATCTTGAGTTTTTTAATTGTTTTGGACTTGATCCATTTGTTATAACCAAGCAATGTCTTGGAAAGATGTAGCCATGAGGGCATAAACTTCTCTGTGTTGTCTTTTATTTCAATTCACTTCTACATGGCATATGCTATAGATGCAAGATCTAGGATATATGAATGTATATTTGCATATGTCATCCTTTGTACGGTAAAGATATATGAGTGAAAGGTTAATATTTTGCATGTCTATGTTCTCTATTGAATATCATGAGATGGGTTGTCATTATTATTTTGGGACGTTACAGTCTGAATGCAAAAATGCTATTATATGCTCAAATATGTCTATGAAATTCAACAATCTCTACAGTTTGAGAAGTAAATATGGTTCTTAAATATTCTAAAACTTCGGGACTTACAAGAACTACTTCTCTGTTATAGCAACAAAAGCTTAGAGGTTCATATTCAAACATTTTAGTCTTACAAAAACGTGAAGATGTCATTTTATGTAATTCATATATCAGAGAGTAAACAATGATGTGTCACCTATTTTTCACACACACACACACACACACACACACACATATATATAAAGCAAACTACATGTATTAGATTCAAGTCTATATAGTAAAATATGTCCAAAATAATAATTAATTTTGTATGTTTACCATTTGTTGGAGTTGTCTCGTCATGTCTTTCCAAAAAGTAAGTTATTTTGTCAAATGTGTTTGGGCCCTTGCAATTTATTTTCCTATTATTAGAAATATTTTCAATATATTGTTTTCATTGTTCAGGTGTAAATCTAGAATATTGATTCTTTTGTCGAGCACAACGTTCTGAACTTGCATTTGTGATAAATCCTTTCATTAGTAATTGTAACAAATAGTGAACATTTTTTTTTTCTTTTTTCATCGAAATTGACATACAAGTTCTTACTATTGGTTTTGTCCATCTCTTTTTGTTGGTCGAGGAGTATTTTCTTTCTTTGTTTTGACTGAAAATTTGAAGAAGAAAAAATTAATTAAAACCAAGAAAAAAAATTAATTTCAATTAAGAAGAATGAGTAGGCATCAATCAATAAAATGACTGAACTTATTTCACTCAAACAATTTAACTTAGATCAAAGCAGAAATTAGTTATTTTGCAGGAAATCTAACCAGTTCGTATGTATTAATAAGTGAGTTTGAAAAGTCACTAATGTATATTTTTATACCACCCACTTGGAAGGCCAAGACCTTTTTTTTGCATATTGTCATAGTTAACATTATCATAGTTGGTTCACATATATACTAGATTTTCTCTACAAAAGTGAAGTACATGATGAAGAAATTTAGGCAATTAAAAATCAATATACCAGAACTATGTACAAAGAAAACAAATAGAGCAAAAAGGATGATAAAAATTTTACACAATCAATTAAGTAGATGATAAAGAAACTTAGGCAATTAAAAATCAATATATCAGAACTATTAACGGAGAACAAAAATAAATCAAAAAAGTTGTGAAACATAGTTGATTGAGAGACAATGCGATCGACTATTTGGTTCTGAAACAAAGTGGGTTGTTATGTTTTGACTGAAAACCATTGAGATATGTAACAGATTTGTTCTGAAACATTCGAAAGACAGTGGATAATGCTG